ATGTCTTTAATTCTGTTCACATCTAGTCCACCTGCACAGATATTTTTGTGAGGGAGCAGGTGGCCAAGACACAGCTCACTGAGGTTCTACCTGGCATCCTAGCATTTGCATTTAAACAATAAATCATGGCACAATAATTCTGTGGACAGAAGCCTGTTGGTGGGTTAAGCCCAATCAGCTGCCTTGTTCCCTCTCATTTTACTGTTTCAATCACTTCCCATCCTACCAATCAGACATTTGAAGAAAAATCCCAGAGCTATTTTAGGTACCTGATCAAAGTTATGTTCAGTAGACTTCTTTCAAATGTCATTTGCTTTTTCCAGCCATGCACATCTTCAGTCACTGTGTCCCTTCTGCAAGCTCTGTTAATCCATTTCCATATAGTTACCCTTCTTACTGCATTTTCCCCCCAGTCTTCCTTAGTTCAGAATCCATCACATGGCTGTCGATCACTCTCTACTAAGAAAATCCAATTGTCCAGCAAAAAAGTGCACCAGTGAATTGCACTGCTGATTGCAATAGGACTTATTTGAAACAATAGTATTTATTAAGGTTTATTCCTGTGTAAAAATCATTAACCTAGGGAGGCAGTTTTTAGAAGATTAACATCGTACACTGCTTGCTCATGCTCTGAGTTGCCTTCCCATGTTTCTTCAAGGGAAAGTTAATCCAGATGTGTAGGTGTGAGGTTTCCAAATTATGTAAGGCAGATATGTGTTTTTATGTGGTACAGGCCAGTGTGGCCAGTACACTTACCAGAGTGTATCAACAGTGCTGCTGCTTCACCCTTAACAGTTGCCTCAGGTTTGAGAAAACTATTTGGATTTAGTACTTTGTAGTTTTTCTGACATCTGAAAAGTAGATAGATCTGAACCATATGAGTGTGAAAGTACACGTCTCTCTTCCAGACTGTATCTGTTTCAGAAGTGTTTGTTTTTTTCTGAAAGACGTGACCAGGTGATATTTCTAGTCACTGCATTTCCTTCTTTCATGTTCAGTGCTGTCTGAGTTGTGCTGTTGCACCTGTTGCAATTTTCCTAAGGATCCCAAATGTTCATGTGTCTATCCCTCTCTTGATGTCTGCCTAGGAACTATCCAGGTTAGTGACAGTGAGTGGAAGACTCCTCTTTTATACAGCACCCTGTTGCAAAGAGCTCCTTAGCCAATCTGAGCATTCTGGCACACCCTGGCTGCTCTGAAGAGTACTACCTGGTAATGCAAGAACCTTTCACTTTCGATTATCCCAAAATCAGTGTCCTGCAAGCCTGTTTATGGCAAGTATAAAGGATGTAGTTGCAAAAAACTAAATACAGGCACCTACCTGACAGCAGCACTTCTTTCCTCCACTCAGCTGGTGGCTCCCACTCCTGGGGCAGGGAGGAGGTGGGATGCTGCGTGCTTTGAAGGCATGCTCTGTATGCCCAGCTAAGCTGCGCAGCCTGGCTCTGCCCACCTCCGGAAAGGTGGCATCTCTGAGACGTGCCGAGCCAGCCAGCAACATGATTACATGCTTCCTCACTGAGTTTTGACCATAGGCCCAGGGGGCTGAATACCCCTGCTTGTATTAAAAGCACAAAAAAGAGAAAATTTTGCTCTCTCTGTTCTTACACTGGGGAATTTGGCTTTGATGGAGATAATATTCCTCTCCTTTCTAGTAATGAGTAATATAAAAGATAAATGTTCTGATGCGGCATCTTCTTTCCCTCCCCCACACTCCCCCACTGTTTAGTAACAATTAAATTATTTCTTTAGAAAGGATGTGTTTGACAATCAGTTATATAAAAAAGTATTTGTAAATATAACTATAACTAATAAAACTAGTAAGAGAAGAAAATATACTAAGGAGGGATTATTGGGTATTTACTGTTTCCTATGCTTCTTCCTAATGCACCCGTACTAAATCCTGCCAGAGACAAGATGCTGCAATAGGCAATCTTCTGGGTCCATTAAGAACATTAAAAAAAATAGCATATGGGATCGTTAAGTGATCTTCCATTATACATTTCCTGTGGCAGAGAGAAGCTCATACATTCATCCTGAGCACTGCTTTCTTTTTATACCTATGAAAGGATTATTCTTTTGAATAAACCGTGAGTGGGAAAACTTCATTGGCTTGGATTATGCCATTTTCTGCAGCATGAAACATGAGTCAAATTCTGTCAGTGAATAATAGTCTAAAGGTTTTAACAAATGTGGAAAACTATTCTTCCTAATTAAAAAAAAAATACTACGTGAAGCTCTTTGTTTCTGTAATGAAATTGCCATCAGGACAAACACATTAGAGGTACAGAAACAGAATTTGCATTCAAAAAGCAGTAGCTGCCTGTATGCTATTAAGATAAGGAAATAATATGCTTCCAGCTGAGTGACTGTACTTCTTTGTGATCCATTAGGCAAGCAGAATTTACAGCTCATTTCAGACTACTTGAAATTCCAGTAAAAAAAGCAAAATATGATGTCAAAACTGAGGAGTCATAGATGGCCTTAGCCCAGCACAGGAACAAACTTATATGGGACTAACAGTAATAGAGAATATTGCTTCACACCTCAAGGATGTTTAATTCAAGTAACAGTCTTCTTCAGAACATTTGGGATGGCAATATGATTCATTAGTTGCACTGTACAAGCACTATACTGTACTGCACTGCATAAGAAATGTTATCAAGCTTTAAGAACCACAAAATGAGTTGTGCTAAAAGGACAGAACTGAGCAGCTGGGAACATATGCTCTAGACCGAGAAATAAATGCTGAATTTTAAAACATACAAAAGATACTTGTAAAGCACACACATTTTAGTGGAAAAGTAATGCAGGAAACAAGTGTTTCCTATAATGTCATTAGTAGCCTACTGGTTTTAACCTGTGTGCTCTTTTCTTTTTTTTTTTTAAATAGAGTTTTTCTCAGAATCACAGAAAATAAGCTGAGAATCAGAAAGTCCATCTCATTTTTCCTCCCCGTTTTGAGGCAAGAGTGGTTGTATCTAAACTATTCCTGACAGATCCCTGCTAAGTTCTTAAAACCTGCAGAGGAAGATGCAGCACATTATCGCTGAGCAATCTACTCCAGTACTTACCTGTCTTTCCCATTAGATCCCTTTCCACCTGTCTGATGTACACCTCCAGTGCTGCATTTCTAGTCCATACTACTTGTCTCATTCTCAGAAGATATGAAAAAACCTTATTCCTTTCCTTTTTTTTTTTCCAGCAGTTTTTTAAGCTTGCTATCATGTTCCCCCATTGTTTTCTTTTCTCCTGAGAAACCAAATCACATTTTCATATTTCCACATTTACTGTCTAATAATTCCTATGAGCTCATCTTTTGGATTGTAACATTCGCAATTGGAAATGGGGGTCCCAGGGAGGCCATATCAGTGCTGAGAAGAGCAGAATGATTACTTCCTGTGATTCACTGTAAACAATTCTGGTTTTATCTTTCAGTAACATTATTTAATTATGATTGATTTTTTTGTAAACAGTCATTACACAAATTCTTATTTACGCTAATACTACATGCCACTGACAGCTATGTGTAGCTTATTTTTGGTTGTCACTATTTCCTGTCTAAGACTGGGGGTTTTTTGGAGGGACTTTTCTACTGTTAGTTTGTTTGGAGATGTTTGTTTTTCTTTTAGTTGCTGTCATTGTTTCATTTTGTTTCAGACAGCTCCTCCTATTTGTCAAGACGTTTCATTCTAATCTTCCTTTTACGATAAGCTTACAGCCCCACATGGCTTTTTGCACATTTAATGCATAGTATTTTGTTCAGGCCCCTAATGAAAATATTTACGATTACAGAACCCATAAAAATCTCCCAATAGTACTATATTCATCCTTTCACTTTTAACCTATTGAAAAATTTTCTCCAATTTCTTATCTGTTTTGTGGGAAGCTAATCAGGAGTTTATTTTTGGAAGAAGCCAAGCAAACGTCCTGTTGGACAAGGTCAAAAGTCCTATTCAATTCAAAATATCTGTTTTCACCCAACTAGCAGGTTTGTTGCTGTGTCATAAAAATTTAATTTGTTCAACAGGATTTTTTTTTTGTTTACAAACCCATACTGATTATTGTTTATTAGTTCGATGTCTTCTAGATGATAAGTAGACTTTTTCAGGTTTCTTTTTTTCTTATATTTCTTTGAGAATTGAAGTTGCAATGATTTCAGTAGCTTTTAGGCCTCTTCTATTGTTTGGTCTCTCTTTTTCTCTAGGAATGAAACACTTCATGATGTTATGGTCAATGTCTACCATGTTGCCAGTTTTCCAAAGTTATTCAGATCTGAAGAAGACATTATTCTTTGGGTCCTGTCTTAACTTCCTGGATCTAAAGATATGTCCCGCTTGCCTGTTGTATAGTCTTATTCTCTTTCTTCAGTGAGTCAGAAGTTAGAAACCTGTCATTAATATCAAAGCCTATCTGTCAGATGACTGTGTTAACACTTTTCCCCTTTTGTTCTTTTCTAAAGGCTTCTTCCACTTGATCTTGTTATTTTAGAAACCAGCAATAGACCATACCTGACAGCAATACTGTTGGGCTTTTTCTTTCTATCACTGTGCGGAGATCTAACGAGTCTAACTGTCATCAGAGCTTGGATTCAGGGAAAGTGCATATGCTCTTGATATACAAAATTCTACCTCTTCTTTCTGTTTCTTAGCAGGTGGCGTTATTCTTCATCAGCATTCATGTTCTAGAAATGATCAACTGAGTGATAGCTTTCATGCTAAAATAACATTACTTACATACACACATTTTTGTTCGTGTTATTTTGCCATAGTTCTCATTTCAGTGTAGGAGCACCTAAAGTGTTGTTGATACGGCTGAATATTTTCCTATCTAACCAGTTTCCCCTTCACTACAGATTTGTATGTTCATTATGTTGATAAGCTCCTGATCTTCCTTGAAACTCGTTAACCTCATTCAATCATCCAAATTCTCCCACTTAATCAATCTAATACAAGATACCTATCACATCAGGTGATCTTCCTGGCATTTTTTCTTGGCAGGAAACTGGAAGACACATTTTGTGGAAGCACAGACCGGGATATAGTCTGAGGGTTCTCGCTCTATCACACTGAAGGCATTGTGACAATACAGCAGTACCCAGCCAATTTGCTTCTTCCTTCTGGAGTCTTTGCAAACTTGAATGTTTGCTTCATATGTTATTGTTGAAGGATCAGTACATACAAAAAAATTAAATACATGTCCTCAAAACTACTGAGAAGGAATTGAGGGCAGCCGAGGTAAGCACTCAGATGGTAATGTGTAACATCATGAACCACACTGAAAGTGTTATGATGAAAGACTATTTTGTATATGAGACTGGAGGGAGAGAATTTTTTTTCCTCAGGAAACCATGAGTCCAGATTAGTCTTTCTTCATGACAATAGTAGGGATTACTGCATGAAAGTAAGTGCAGTACTTTTTGGTTTTGAGAGCAAAACAATGTAAACAAAATGTAACAGATGTAAAAAAAAAGTAACAGAACCTGTGGTCTGATCATATTTAACTCCTCATTGCAAAATAGGAGCACAAGCATAAAATAAGACAGCAGGTCTGATTGTAGTTTTTTATGTCATAACTGATAACACTGAATATAGCCAAGGAAAATGGATAGTAAAATTAACAAGAGCTACTTGTAACTGATGAAGAATACAATGTACAACATTCATTGACATTATATTATACAGAAAATATGCTTCTTTATTGGAAATAGAGGTCAGTGCAGTAATAATTTCAAACAAGCTAATCTATGTCTTAAAACCTCTGGGATCTGTCATGCTTTCATTGATGCCAAGGTCAAAGATAAGGGCTGTGCTCAGCAGGCATACATCAAAAGTACAAATTACTGCAGCTACTTACTGTAGCGATTTCTGCATAACTACTACCATCACTGGGATATAGGTCAAAACAATTATCATTTTTAGCCCCTTAGATAGCTGTTACGTTACTAAGTATGTCTTATTTATCTAAGAGCCAGACTCAAAAGCATACTTAGGACTTAGAGGAAAAACAAGCAAGGAATATGAATCAGTGGTTAGAGCTCTTAGATGGTAAGGTAGAATCTTGCATGCAGGTTAAGGTCCCACAGTCATTACTATTTCTTGTTTCTCATCTACTCTTAATGCAAAATGTATCCCAGAGAGGATCGGGGCACCTTGATTCTTGCTCCCTCTCCCTCTTATCACTGCCACCCACTTTTAGCTCTCCAGAACAGGATCTGCAGTTGGCAGCAGAGATGTCTGACTGTAGAAACTTCTTGAGGCTCACCGTAGTCCACTGAGTGCTCTCCACTTCCTCATCCAGGGACCCCAACGAGAGGGATGAAATATGCACATCTTCCTATAAAAAGCCTGCATGCTTCCACTCCAGGAAAGCCAGGTAACTGGGCAGTGCAAAGTGTTAGCGCCTAAATCCTTAGTTTAATAGGGAGGGAAATATGAGTATAGAAGCTGTCCCAGCACTGCAGGGAGCCGAAAAGCATTGGTTTGTTATAAGCTCTAAAGGCAACATCTCAATTTTACAAGTAATGTTAATCAGGAAGCTGTTAGGGGAAAGGGCTGAATTGTTAGTAAAATTCACAGAAGGGTATGTAATTGAATTTGAATGAAAAGACTTCTAACTAACCACAGGGCTTTGATCCAAGTCCTTACAATGGTTAGAAGTTGTGGCAATTACTTCATATCTTCTGAAAATATAAAGGCACAGTGAAGACTTTTCTCTGACATCACAGAGAAGAATAAATTAAGCAAGAGAACAAGATCACTACAGGATTTCAGTTGAATTTGGATTTAGGCTCCAAAATCAATCCTGAAAGTCTTATTCAGCTGCTGCTGGACACTGAAGGTACTTAGATAAGACTAACACTTTGGCTTCTTTGGGCAAACCGAACTGCTGAACTCTTTAACTAACAACCACCAGAAGGTCTTTTTCTAGTTACTTGTGGTATTGTCTTTGCTGACAGGTTTGAGGGGTTGGGTGCCTGGATCCCATGTCTCCTCCTGCTCTGCAGCTGTACAGAAAGGGCCCAACACCCTGGCCCAACAGGTCACCAGCCTCTGAGCTGCTGCCAGAGCACCACATGTGTTGCACACATCCATAGGATTGGCATTCAGATGTAATTGAGTGATATCTCCACCTGGGGAGGGAAAGTTGACCTGACCGTAAGAGAAAGGTATGACTTTCTGTCCTAAGAGTTTGAACAGTCATTCAAGAACAAGCAGCCCCAAAACCAAGATCCCATTCTCACAATTTTACATCTCTCATCTGGTGACTTTTTCAGTCACTGGCCAGTGAAATAGTTTCAATAGGAGCAGAGGAATATAGCATTCATATTTTGCTAAAGTCTGATGACAAAAGAGATGAAAAATAGTGGCAAGTTTCCCTTTAGTAAGTAGATTATAACTTCCCTGCATAATTTCTCAGTATATATAAAGTGTTAGAGCAGATCTCTCCTTTTTTTTTTTTCTCTTTTTTTTTTTCTCTTTTTTTTAGGCTTGGCATTTTTGTTAGCATGAGAATTTTTCACTAAAGTACAGGAAAACATCTTCCTTATTGAACTTAAATAATTTTTAGTTTTGTATTTTTTTTTGAGGTTTGCATTTCTCTTGGCTTTTTCAGTACTTCTTTTGGACTTTCTCTTTTTTCATTCAGCTTGTCTGAGAGAGGAGGAGCAAAATTCAAAGTTTCCTGGGTTCCGCAAGGCATAATGAGAAAAGGCTTTGTGAAGAATATTGTTGTCTTGGCTCTCAAGGGAGGCAAGCAAAATCTGTTATCTGTGAATTTCTCTCTATAACATAAGGAAAACATTAGTTTTTCAGAGGTATGGTATGTAGCAAAGTTTAATAAAGCTAGTGAGGTATTTATATATATATATCTGTGGTCTGAGAGACAATAATTGTCAAAAGTAATGTGAATGGAATGGAACAGAGAGGGATGAGAGCATGCAATGAGTGATAGAGCCACAGAGCAATGTAATTTAACAAAGCAGGTGAAGGAATAGAGACCAACCTGCTCAGCTCAGGGAGCTGCTGGCAGCTTGCTTACCTCATGCTGAATGCTGCTCATTGTTTAATCAGTCAAGATATAACTCCTCTGACTGTGTTTGGGGAATCAAGGGAAGAAATATTGAAAACATACTTTTCTGTATTAGTTCCAAGGCTCAATTCTGACACCTCTTTACTACTGTCATATGTGACTTTTATAAGTCAGTTCAACAATAGAGCACTGTTATTCAGGGTCATAATTCAGTGTATTCCTTGACACACTTACAAATTGAAAAGAGAGTGAAAATAAGGAATCAGTCATAGGACTGGTCAAGCAGCAATTTTCCATCGCCACACAGGCAATGCAGGAGAAATGGTCCCTCTGTTAGCATGCCCCAGTGGGGCATTGTAGAGTGTGATCCCAGTGATAACATCAATGTTAAGAATATATTTGCACTGGCCAAGTCTCATGTGCTGAGCATGCAGCCAACACTGCTGGTTCACTTCCTACTTTTCAAGTATAAAGCTGTACTTTTTTTTTCCATCTCTGAAACCGTATATAAATTTCACTGCTTCTGTGTTGGAGTCCAATGCACAAAGTATTGGAAGGGATATTAGAAAGCTCTCTAACAGCAACCCAGCATGAGAGAGGCTCCCACTCACTGGGAGGAAAGAAAGTAATCCATCAGTCATGGGACATAAAAGAATGAATGGAGGATGGAAACTACATTTATTTCAAGCTAAAATTAAAGCTCTGGATAACTTTGTTTCACCTCTGATTAATTTAAAACTTTGATTAACCAGTTCTGGCTTTTCTTTAATAGAGACCAGAATTACATTTTCTTTGTAACTTATTTATGTTTATAAATAAGCTGGCAAACCAAATGAGTCAATGTGGTCTCTTAAGTCCAGGTCTTTATAGGTTCTGGCAAAAGAAACATTTATGCAGATTTCAGTTGATGTATTCCCATTGGAGAAAATTCAGATTACTTCACCTTTATGTCCTCTCTGATTCTATTGGCTGCTTTGTCTCACAAATGGAAGAGATATATCTAATTAAATCATAAATATCATCATCCTGTGTCTCGGTGCTCTTCCTCCAAAAAGAAAAGACCAAAGGCTCTTTCATTTAAAGGCTATAAAGATTTTAGGTGAAATCCCAGTGTTATTGAAGACAATGTCAAAACTCCCACGGAGTTCAATCAGGTCAGGATTTCACTGCTTGGTTTTGTAAAGCTGATGAATAACAGAACCTGGGATATGGGTATATACAACAGTCACAAATCACAGAACGTGAATCATCCACTGTAAGACCTGGCTTTTCATCATGGCTAGGCTTCGCGAACGAAGATTTGGGAAGGGCTCTACCCACGTTTCTTGCAAGCGCGTTTGTGGCTAAAAAGGCCAATACGAGATAGACAAGTCCGGTTGCAAAAGACACAGCAGAAAGACTCCTTAGGTGGTATATTCTGTAAGGCTCGATTCTTTCTGCGTTGTCTTTTCTCCTCAAGGGTGATCCTGCGCGCTTTCTCAAAAGCATCAGCAGCGTTATAAATGGTTTGTCTCCAGGCCTCCCAATTGGAGGCCAGAGTAGACCAGTTATGGTGATCAATATGGCCAAGGCTGAGTTGTTGCTTCAGGGAGTCCTTGTATCTTTTCTTTGGGGCTCCTCTCTTGCGGCAGCCAGTGGCAAGTTCACCGTAAAGCAGGATCTTGGGGAAGCGGTGGTCCTTCATCCTGGAGACGTGCCCTGCCCAACGCAGCTGTGTTCTCAGCAACATGGCCTCAATACTTGTGATTGCTGCCTGTTCGAGAACAGACGTATTGGTCACATAGTCTGACCAGTGGATGTTTAGGATTGTGCGGAGGCAGCGTTGATGGAAGCGTTCTAGAAGACGCAGGTGGTGGCGGTAGATGACCCATGATTCGGAGCCATATAAAAGAGTAGACAGCACAATGGCTCTGTAAACACTGATCTTGGTACTTTTCTTCAAGTGTTTATTTCACCAGACTCTTTTATGAAGCTTTCCGAAAGCACTATATGCCTTTGCTAACCTGTTATCTATCTCCCCGTCAATCTTACCGTCCGAGGAGATGAGGCTACCTAGGTAATTAAACTGTTGGACTGATTTGAGTTCTGATTGGCCGATGGTGATGTGGGGATGATGGGGGACTTCCTGAGGTGCAGGTTGATGGAGAACTTCAGTCTTCTTTAAGCTGACTTCCAGCCCAAAGAGCTCAGCAGCCTCTGCAAAGCAGGATGTTAAACGCTGCAGGGCTGCTTCTGTGTGGGCAACAAGGGCGGCGTCATCAGCGTAAAGCAGCTCCCGGACAAGATGGTTTAGGGTCTTAGTGTGGGCCTTCAGTCGCCTTAGGTTGAATAGGCTTCCATCAGTACGATATCGTATGTAGATACCGTCCTGATCATCGAGGTCTGCCGTGGCCCTTTGGAGCATCATGCTGAAAAAGACTGTGAATAGGGTAGGAGCGAGAACGCAGCCTTGTTTCACACCATTCTTTATTAGAAAGGGCTCAGAAAGTGTGTTGCCATATCTGACTTGGCCGTGCTGATCCTCATGAAGTGAGATGATCATTTTAAGGAACTTGGGGGGACAACCTAAACGTTCCAAAATCTGCCAAAGACCTTTTCTGCTCACAGTATGGAAAGCCTTGGTGACGTCGACAAAGGTTACATAGAGACCTCTGTTCTGTTCCCTACACTTCTCTTGCAGTTGTCTGAGAACAAATATCATGTCTGTGGTGCTCCTGTTGGCTCTGAAACCACACTGACTTTCAGGTAGAATTCCTTCTGCTATAGCAGGTATTAGTCTGTTCAGGAGTATTCTTGCCAGGATTTTGCCAGCAACGGAGAGCAGAGTAATACCACGGTAATTTGAACAGTCTGATTTGGTACCTTTCTTCTTATACAAGGTGATGATGACTGCATCACGAAGGTCTGAAGGTAGTTTGCCTAGATCCCAACAGCGCACCACAAACTCATGAAATTTAGCATGGAGTGCAAGGCCCCCATGTTTCCAGACTTCGGGTGGAATTCCATCAACCCCAGCTGCCTTGCCGATTTTCACCTGCTGTATGGCCTTGAGGGTTTCTCCTAAAGTGGGGGCAGTATCCAATTCGTATTTCACCGGTTGTTGTGTGATGGACTGAATTGCTGAGTCTTGGACTACACGGTTGGTACTGAAAAGAGTCTCAAAGTGTTCAGACCATCTATTCAGAATGGAGGTTTTATCTGTCAGAAGTGTTTGACCATCTGCACTGAGTAGTGGGCTTTGGACTTGGTATGTAGGCCCATATGCTGTTTTCAGGGCCTCATAGAATCCTTTGTGATCCCCTG